GTTTACTCGCAATATTGTTACTACAAAAATGCGGCGATAAAAGAGATACATCCAACCGATGTCATGAAGTGGGACCCGGAATACCGAACACAGCCGTTTACACGTGGTTGGTGGAACGGCTTCGTCCGCAGGGGCAGGGATATAAAATATGGCTGCAAGTTTGTTCTACAGGCTCATGATGAAGAGAAGACCTATATTTTACTGCCAAATCGTGTCAAAAGCAAGATTTGGGCAAAATGAGATGATACAATACACCAGCGAGAATGTCCCGCTCGATGTAGGTTTTAAGCACCATGGTTGCAATCAGGTCTTTTTTCCGAGAATTAGTATTCCAGGACGAGGGCAAAAAGCTGGCTAACTGTCATACCGATTTCGAGCGCTCTCTTCTTCTTATTTTGCGAGCTAGAACATCATACAGACACCATACTTTAAAATTGATAACTCATAAGAAATGAGTAATGTTTTCGGTGGTTTGGCTGACCTCACAGCCTATGCTACAACATCGCAGCACTTTGATTCCTGGCCTTATCCGTTTCTGTTCCCTGGAGAATACTTTTGTATAGAATTGCCACAAAGTCAGGCAGTCTATTACTCTCCAAAGTACTCATCGTTCTTAAAAGATCGATGCATGCAGAACCCTCCAACAGTCGACAGCAATAAGACAATGGGACTTGATACAACCGCAGTGAGAGCTCCCATCGCATAGCTAGTTCATACACAGCCGCGTGCTGCACCAGAAGTGGTCGTAAATTTGTCCCCTGATTTAGTCCTTGTCGGTTGACTTGCGTAGCCCGACTGACCTTCGATCTTGGTGTATGGGCACGGCCCTACCGTGTACTTCTGGCAGTATATCAACTGCAGCGTCCTCCATACGGTATGTATATCGGCTTGCGAAACAACGAGTTGCATTCTTCGTAGGTCGACCGAATGGTTCTGAGACTGGCGACGAAAGTATGGGCTCTCAGTCACCAAAATGCTCGAGTGGGCGACGATTCGAGCTCCGTTTGCCACGATAGTCACAGTGTCGCTATCCTGCGTGACTAAAGGACCGGTCGGAGACCAGAGGTCAGAGCGGCCTCTCCGATAAAGAGACTGAATGAAAGAGATATTGAAAGGCATACAGACTTTCCAAAAAACGGCTTTACTACCTATGTACTCTTTCATAGTTTCCCAAACCCTAATGCCAAGAATACTATTCCCTTTTTGGATGTCTCCGAAGCCCCAGACTTACAGCATGGTATCGTACTGTAATGGAATTGGCTGTCGTAATTTACAGGTTTCCCCTTTACACCGTCTCCATAACCCCAAGTGCCCCGCCGGATATCCTCATCCACTGCACTCCTCCATGCACTCCTCCATGCACTCCTCCACTGCACTGAGGTGGGGGGTTTTGAAGATCCTGGAGTTGATCATCACAATGGCACCCAACCTAGGTCACTCAACTCTTGATCTAATCCATGACATGATAATCGATGGCAAACTCTCTTTATCCCAGATGGCTGCAAATGCCGGTTGCAGCAAGCCTACAATTGTCACCATCCGCACTAATCTTCGCATGTTTGGAAGTGTCAAAGCACCAATAATAAAAAAGGGACGGCCACGACGGATTACAACGACTATGATGGAAGCTCTGTGTGAGCATTTACTGGAAAAGCCTGGTCTATACCTTCATGAGATGCAGGTATTTTTCTTAGACGATTTTGGGCTCGAGGTACCCAAGTCTACGATCAGCAAAGCGCTTCATCGTCAAGGGTGGTCGAATAAGACAGCCCGGCAGAAGGCTAAAGAACGAAATGCCGATCTACGTGACGAATATTTTCATGACATTGCGGACTTCAGTTCATATCAACTTATTTTTGTGGACGAATCTGGTTGTGATAAGCGGATTGGCTTTAGGAGAACAGGCTGGTCTCCGCTGGGTATTACGCCAATCCAAGTGGCTAGATTCCATCGCGATCAACGGTATCAGATACTACCAGCATACACACAAGATGGTGTTCTTCTTTCACGGGTGTTCCGGGGCTCGACTGACGGCTCATTATTCGAGGATTTCATTGAGGAGCTTCTCGAGCATTGCCAACCATACCCAGCGGCCAGGTCAGTTATTGTCATGGACAACGCGTCGTTCCATCGCTCTGAACGGATACAAGAAATGTGCTCGGAAAAGGGAGTTAAATTAGTCTATTTGCCGCCGTACTCCCCAGATCTGAATCCTATTGAAGAGTTCTTTGCTGAATTAAAAGCGTTTGTTCGACGACACTGGCAGACGTACGAGGACGACCGTCATCAAGGTTTTGATTATTTCTTGGAATGGTGCGTCAGTACGGTTGGCGCAAAAGAAAAGAGTGCTAGAGGGCATTTCAGGCACGCAGGTCTAACAATAGAAGAGCTATAGCGTGCACCGTGGGCAAGTCTGAATCGGACTTGGTCGGTGTTATTTCTTTGGAACGAAGCATAATAATGGGTATCTCAGTCATATATATATACATAAATGTGTAGTGATTGGCACTGCCCATGTAGTTAAAATACAGCCAGAGTGCTTAACCAGCCGTTGAGTCGTAGACCTGCGAGATACCCCAGGTTGGTTGAACCATCTGCCTTCACGTCCACCTCCTCAATATCTCGAAGGATTCTTTCAATATGATCACCTGCACCACTAAGTTTCATACACCAAGGTCCGAAACCTCCTTCCGCCCGCATCGACAAGCTTATTTCCATACCCTAACGCCAATGCCCCACTCTAGACATGGATCCCAAGATGATAGGCCGGGGTGAACAGTACGTGACATCACTGATCCAATTATAAATTCCTGATGCAAATTAGTGCCTTGGCATCAGGGTCTGGAAATAAACACATGTGTGTGGGGCGGAAGGAGGTTTCTGACCTTGGTGTAAATAGGCAGTAAGTTGGGTCCTTTCAAAAGTCCACCTAAATCAAGGTACCCAATGACAAGCTACGTACGATATTTGCTAGGCCAGCTAAGACGCTAAGCATTTATAGGCCCAGCGGAAAGAAAATTAGGACGACTCACTCCACCGCCTATGTGTAGGTCCTGATGATTGTGCTTCGGTCTCGGTCGGCTCAGAGACGCTGAACTATCAAAAAACGCCTAATGTGATTGCTCCTGCATGGCTCCTGCAAATGCAGCCAAGCTATTGGCCAATACCTGCAAGCAGTTCGTAAGGATACGTGGCCACATTGAAATCTCAGCCAACAGCGGTAAACTCAGGCATACTATTGGTTCTCGTCAACTTTGCTCCTTACGGACACAAACCTGGTTTGCCTGCTTATAAAGTATCATTCATGCTCTTTGTTCGACAGGAAATATCTATACATCCGAAACACAAGATTCTGAACTACGCGAGTCTTACCGTAGGGGCAATATCCACTTCCGTTGCCCCCTCATCGAAGAAGCAGTATCATACCATCAAAAATTCGATCAAACAGACCCGCGGAAGCCTTCGTGTTCCAGGGGCTGAACCTCTTAATTATTCCGTTCTATCGCGCTGCCCCTTTAGCCCGCAACTATTATAACTAAGGACGAAGTAAGTTATCTTTTTGAATGGTGTTTAGAGCTGTAGAACAGACCATTAATTCTATAAATACAGATTGTCTCCTCTTCGAGCCGCCTTCCCTTTCAAGACTACGTCTCTCGCATCACGATCCGCTTCGTGTGAAGGTCCTCTCTGCGATATTCAATATTGACCGACTTCCTTCACTCTCACGCAATGTGTGAATGGGCTTGCAAGACATACGCAGCTTGTACGCGTGTTCCCAAACACATGAATCGAGATCACATTATCTTTTGTACACCCGCAAGAAGCAATGCAAATGACCCATGCGTACCTCCCTCAGGGTTTCTGCGAGACCTCCCGTTGGTTCTCGATGCGCAAGACACGAATATAGCGGGATCCTGTCCTCCCTGTGCTGGTACAACACCGACTAATTCCTCTGACTAGAGTGGTTGCCTTCCCCCCAATCCAGAGAAGCAGATCGTTGGTGAACCTGCTTGCGAGCTACCTCTCCGAGATCCTGAAATGTACTAAATATAGTTAGCTTAGTTAGGTCATAGAAGAGGGTAACGCACAATGAATCAATTCCTGAGACTTTGAAGACTTCGAGGTCTAACTTGTTAAGATCGACATTTGGATGTGTTTTGCAGTGGAGATCGAGAACGAGATATAACCGAGAAGATTGAGGATCACTGCATATATGTGTACAGTAGTCTTCTCGGGGTTGAATACCTCTCCATGTAAAGAAAGCGTCGATGATTGTTGTAGGCTTTTGAAAAGGTTGTTCGCGATATGGAAGGACTATCCGCACCGGAGTAGCCTGACTCATTTCGTCCCAAGTGTAAGAAGATTTACTGATGTCGCTTGTAAAGGTTCCTCGAAGATTCTGAATCACAGACAGGCATAGACAGAGACAGAGACAGAGACAGAGACAGAGACAGAGACAGAGAGACAGAGAGAGAGGGAGAGAGAGAGAGGGAGAGGGAGGGAGAGAATTGAGGGCTCACGTGTGGATTACGTAATCGCGCAACAGCCATTGTAAAGCTATCTTGGCTTGTTAAGGGGTGGAGGCGAGGTCGATCACGTGACGCCGGCTTCCAACACGCCCCCTCGAACGAGCGCTGCCCTCCTTTCTCTTGATCCATAATGCTCTAATTAAGTCGGGGTCGACTTGAATTCTCTGGCTATCTATTGGTCAGTATCGCCCCACATCATGTAGTACAACGGCCCCGGAACCACCCCGGTATCCCTCCCATCACTTCCCATACCGCCTCCATACCGCCCACCCGCCCATACTCCCCGTCACTGCCCCCATACTTCCCGTCACTTCCCGTGGCACCCAGTACCGGGGGCATACCATCTCCCATCACTTCCCGAATACGGTATTGAACCACATCTCGTAACATCTCTCGGTCTTCCCCCCAAATCCTGGCTTCACCATCACGGCCACCTCATTAACTTTATCAAAGATCCATTATCCTAATGGCAAATGGTTCGGGTACCTCAACCCTCTCTTATAATTAAAATAGAATATCAGAGAGAGATATAGGAAGCCCCTTCTTCATCTCCTTTGTACACCAAGGTCCGAAACCTCCTTCCAGCCCCGCACACCTGGGTTTATTTCCAGACTCTAATGCCAAGGCGCTAATTTGCAGCGGGGCTTTATAAATGGATTAATGATGTCATATTATGTTCACCCGGCCTATCATCTTGGGATATGTGCGTGGAGTGGGGCATCGGCGTTAGGGTCTGGAAATAAGCTTGTCTGTGCGGGTGGAAGGAGGTTTCGGACTTGGGTGTAATATGTGCAATGGCAGAGTGGACGCGCAGAAGCCTAGGATCCGGAGGACTAACTGTATGATTAGGACTCAGGGTCAGCTCACGAGTAACAGGGAAAATCGGATCACGCAGAAAACTACTCTCGAGCGAATCGATCCTATACTCAAGCGGCTTTCCCGTCGGCTCAAATAAGAGTTGAAATTCACCGAACAGTCGATGGTAGTCAAGCGTCAGTGTAAGAGCATTAGTGGGGCTATCAATGTTCGGGCCATCAATACGATGGCTCAGGCCGGGGTCAAACATGTCAAGTATTCGCAGAACGTTCATCTTTGACTCGCTCTACAAACATGTTAATTCACGGAACTTGGAATTTGTTCACGTAGCACATACCAACTCTGATTCTCCTGGCCCCATTGTTGCCAAACAATGTGGTAGGATGTGCGCAACTTCAAGATGCTGGAATCCGAATCCACCATCGGATTCATCCCTTAGAAGATTTCCATCGTTATCTTCACACATATCTCCATACTTTTCGTTGCGCCGTCTGGCTTCGACTGTATCAAATTTGCGGGAGATCACACACCGGTAGTGATCACGTAAAAGACAAGATTTCCGTAAGATAGACAGACGTTGTCTTGTGCCAATTGGCGCGGGTGTTTGGCTCAAAGACAATGCTGTTGGTGTGGCTTGTGGTGTTTTGGCTGATGAAGCTCTGACTATTTCGTCCTCGTTAGTGGACCGGCGATAAATAAATAAAAAAAGGGTCTCCTCACGCGGAAGAAGAAAGTTGTCAACGATATATTCAGCAAACTTTTCAATAGCGACGTTTATATGTGCCAAACCGCCTGAGTGCGCACATGAGCCTCCAATACAGTTTTCAATGTAAGACAGTGCAGAGGCGATGCTGACGTCGTCGCTGGACTCGCTAGTGACATGAAGGGCTCCATAAAGATATAGAAGAAAAAATCCGTGTCCTTGGATGTAACGCGTACAAACATCTCGTGAACCAGTCTTGCAGGCTTGTAACCAGATTGCACGCTCTGTTCGAGGCCATAATGCTGGATGCATGTGTTGAGAAGCACTTGGGCATGTTGCTTTTGATGAGGTGGTAGTAAAAACACTGGGGAGAAATCCAGCACAGTCTCTAATGATGTTTGATGTTGGGCCATGGTAGAACGTCGTCAGTATAGCATAGGAGGTGGAAAGAAGGTCCGAGAATCAAGATCAGGTGGTGTCAAGGTCAACGGATTTATATCGGCCCGAACTCGGTAGGAGTTAGCTAGCTAGCTAACTAGTTAGTTAGTTAGTTATGTACACATATTACATAATCGTTCAATTATGCCTAGTTAGTTACACAATTCTCATGCCAGGCTTGGCAATTCGAGATGATCATTCACTGAAGTTATTGATGTTACTGTACGTATTCATTGACTAGAAAATAAATTGAAGGGTTCTATGGAGTGGAGCTAAACCGATTGATGTTCAGTCCTCCTCGGCATGTCTGTTTTTCCTGCATTCCTCAAGCCAGCATATAATCTCACTGACGAACCGCCGAGCAGCACCAACTTTGACACCTTGTTTGACAAAAAAATCAGAGTCCTGGTCCTTATGGATCTGTCTGAGATCCATGCAATTTTCCAGCGCCACATTACTAGCTTTTTCCATTTGCTCTTTGAAGGATTCGCGGCTCACGCGGGATTTTTGCCAGGCCGTGTATTCATCGATGGCTGTATCCAGCAGCCCAGGGATGTCAATAGGCCCAGCAGATATGTTTGAAGACGTACTGCCGTCAACCAAAAAGGGGTGAGATGACTGTGCGGAGTTGAAATTAATGTTGATTGGGGGACACATCAATCCATTCTGAGCGTTCAACCGACCCTTCTTCTCCTTCTCATGGCGTTGTTCCTCCTCTGCGTACAGCTGTTGGCGCACATCCTCAGGGACATCATCGTGGGTCTCCAGTGTGCCACCGTTCTCAACAAACTTCACGAGGCTCCTCAAATGATGGGTTTTCAATTTGTAATGCTTCTTCCCAACAGGATCCTGCCAGCAATACTGGCCTTCGTGGCGACAAGGTGGGCCAGGACAACGCATGTTTTTGTACACCCCCCGCCAAGCTGGGCGTTGCGCCGACATGGTTTCAGCGTCAATTTGAGCGTCCCGCTCAGAAAGCATTCTTCTCGTCACTGTTGTCGGACCTCGTTTATCTACCAAAGTAGATGGGTCGCTGTCCATCATATAGTCAATAGAGATACGAAGTCGCAGCCTTTTGCCAGGCACACGTGAAAGTTTGCCCCACATGAGCAACTGTTTCTCTATAATCGGCCAATCGATGTTAGTGCTCTCAAAGGATTTGATCAAATCGGTTTGACTGCGATCATTTACAGATACGATGATTTCGCCACCATCTAGCCTAACCCGTTGGTTTTGCTTGATTTTCCGGCGAACAGCCTTTTCGGCATCTTCCATGATTTTACTCCAGTATGAGCAAGGTTTCCGCATCAAGTCTTGTTCTGTGTCCCTCTTCACCAGGCGGTGATTCAGAGTCACTTTCCATTCAATGAGGTAAAGAAGACACGCTGGGGATCGTTCAACGTTCATTCCTCCATCCTCAGGTCCATCTCCGGGTAAGAAGCCTAGTTGATTGGATGGATTTTGATGCAAGGGGGAGGAAGATCCTTCGGGTTCACGGTCCGATGAAAGGCTAAATACGGATGGCATGCGTTCACGGCCAAAAAATCCAGGGGTGGGGACACGTGATGGGCTTCCTTCCCATGAGTCGAGTTGTACAAGTGGAGAAGCGTGGTCATCACTTAGAGGACTAAATGCCATTCCCTCGACGTAGAAAAAACCGCCGAGGAGCCTAGAAATGCACCAGGTGTTAGCCTGCATGGAATGAAGATCCCGTGCAACAATCAGCAAGGATAACTGCAGCTCACAAGCCTAGTAGAAAGATAAGCAATGTCATGGGTCTTGTGGCGCTACGGCAGAAACGTGGTCTCGAGCGTCGTCGTCTTGGTTGGATGGAGTAAAAACAAACCACTCCAAAGTGAGGTGGTGGTGGTAGGAGAACCAAACCTGGGCAACTTGCCTTTTGGAAAAGGCATCAGCTCCTGACGTTTGACCATTTGGCATGGAACCTTCCAGGCAACCATGGTTTAGCGATACACGGGTTGACAGTACCCATGATCTGGCGTATTTTAGAATGAGACTGTAATTAACGGGAATATAGTTGTTCCGTATAATATATGATTAGGGACTAGCGTCTCTTGGCATTAGGGTTTGAGAAACTATGAAAGAGTATAGGTGGTAAAGCCGTTTTTTGGAAAGTCTGTATCGAGCGTTGCGGATAATCACTTGTGATCAGGGTCGATGAGAAGGAATCAGGTTTCTGATAGATCCTGAGACATATTTAAGAGATGGTTCACA